TGTTAAGTTTGATGGATCAAACTACTTGGAATGGGTCCAATCAGCCATGACGGCTATTGGGGGTAGAGGAAAATTGAACTTCTTGCTAGGGGATGTGAAGGAACCCTCCAAGGAGGACCCTACTTATGCTAGGTGGGTCCAAGAGAATTTTTTGGTGATGACATGGCTGTGCAATTCTATGCAACCACACATCAGCCGAAACTACTTGTGGGCCAAAACAGCTAACGAAATATGGGATGTTATGAAGGAAACCTACTCTCAACCCCTTAATGTTGCTAGGGCTTATGAGCTAAACTGTGAGGTTAAAACTCTGAGGCAAGGAGAGAAGCAGGTCTCTGTTTACTTTTCAACTTTAAAATCCCTGTGGCATGAAATTGACCAACTTTAAACAATTGAGTGGGAGAGTCAGAAAGATGCACAAACATATAGAAAGCAGGTTGAAAATAACAGAGATTTTGAGTTCCTAGCTGGTTTGAATTCTGAATATGACATTGTGAGACAACAGTTGTTGACAAGAGATAGTGACTTTATTACAAGCCTATTCCCTAGTGCATAGTGAAGAAACTAGGAGAAAGGTTATGTTACAGCAACAGTCCTCCGAATCAGCCTTGGTAGCAGTTAGACCCAAATCTGGGGGGCATAAGGAGAAGAAGGAAGCTAAGAAGGACTTAGTATGTGAACACTGCAAGAAACCTCAACATACTAAGGACACTTGTTGGAAGTTGCACCCTCATCTAGTTCCAACAAAGCTCAGAAATAAGAAAGGGAATGCTAATATGGCTGTCAACACTGATAGTACAACTTCATCAGGCACAAAAGGCACTCCTCTAGATACCCTATCTATAGTTCGAGCTGCTCTGACTCAGCTAGAAAATGAATTTAGTAATTCAGCTTAGCCTACATCAGCTCAATAGTCTACTTCAGCCCTTGCTCATACAGGTACAAGAGCTACTGCTTGCCATGCTTCTGTCCCAGGTAATACTAGACCTTCCTGGGTAATAGATTCAGGTGCTTCAGATCATATGACCATCTACTCTATTTAGCACCTATTGTTTATCCTCTGGGAGAGACAGTTTCTATTGCGAATGGCTCTCTTGTACCAATTTCTGGCAAGGGAGACATCAGAATATCAGATACCGTCACCTTATCCTCAGTTTTGCATGTTCCCAAGCTTAGTGCTAACTTACTTTAAGTTAGTAGTATTACTAAAAATCAAAACTGTCCGGTACCCTTTTTTCCTGATCAGTGTATTTTTTAGGATCTGGAAACGAAGAAGGTGATTGGGATTGGCTGTGAGATGAATGGAGTCTACCTACTGGAACATTCACAGAGGGAGCAAAGTGAAGCAGGGAAATTGTTTGTTTCTTAGTCTTGTAGTAAGATTATGCTTTGGCACAACCGCTTAGGTCATTTATCTTTTGGGTCTTTAAAGAGTCTTTTTCCAAATTTTGTTTGAGTCAGTAAAAGTGTCTGGGTTAAAATGTGAAAGTTGTGAACTTGCAAAACATAGTAGATCATCTTATCCTTTAAGTAATAAAAGAAGCAACCTTCCTTTTGAGATTGAGCATACCGATGTTTGGGGGCCCTACCATACTCCCACCATGGGGGGTATAGATATTTCTTACTATTTGTTGATGACTATACCCATTTTTCATGGGTCTATCTTATGCACTCTCGAGATGAGGTCCCCTCTCTGACCCAAGCTTTCCATTAGATGATCCTAACTCAAGTTGAAACCAAGATCAAGATTCTTAGGTCTGATAATGCCAAGGAATACTTTGCAAAACCCTTGGCATCTATCTCCTTGATCATGGGATCATTCATCAGAGCACTTGTCCTCACACACCTTAGCAAAACGGGGTTGCTGAGAGAAAAAACGGGCATATTTTAGAGGTAGCCAGAAGCATCATGCTCAACTCCAATGTTCCCATACACTTCTGGGGAGATGCAATCTGCACAACCATATACCTCATTAACAGGGTTCCTTCACGGGTCCTAAACATGCAAACCCCGTTCAGTCTTTTATATCTAGATAAGGACCTATTCACTATTCCCCTCAAAACTTTTGGCTGTACTTGTTTAGTTCAAATCCTTGGACCTCATCGCTCCAAGTTTGATCCCAAAGCCACTAAGTGTATTTTCCTTGGGTATGCACAAAATCAAAAGGGATATTGCTGTTATGAGCTAGTTTCAGGGAAGCGCTTTGTGTCCATGGATGTCACCTTCTTTGAGGATATGCCCTACTATCATAAGGCTTCTCCTCAGGGAGAGAATAGCGAGGAAGGGATTTCAGTTTCAACTCCAAGAGTTCCTTTACCTGTCCCGGTTACTAAGGGAGGGAGTTGCGAAGAAGGTTGTCAAAAATGTAGGGAGTTGAGAGTGTATCACAAAAAGTGGTGGAGGCAGGTTGATTCTCGTACTCAACAACAATCCAGGCCAGTTCCAACATCTTCTATAGCAAAAGATCTAGACGCTACTACTGCTCCTTCTGTTGATTCCACTGTTACAGATGTTCAGCCTTCACCGATAGATGACCTTGATCTTCCAATTGCTATTCGTAAAGGGAAGCGCTGTTGCACCTCATCCACTGCACATTGCATCTCCAAGTTCCTTTCCTATAATTGTCTCTCAGAATCCTACAGATCTTACTTGGCATTCATTTCTGCTATTCCTATACCCAAAAAAGTGCAAGAAGCTCTTTTGATACCTGAATGGAAGGAAGCAATGCAAGTAGAGATGGATGCTCTTGTCAAGAACAACACATGGGAACTAGTTAACCAGCCTGAAGGGAAGAAACTTGTTGTATATAGATGGGTGTTTACTGTGAAATATAATGCTGATGGTACCGTAGAGAGGTAATAAGGCCAGATAAGTTGCAAAGGGATTCACACAAACTTATGGCATAGCCTATACAGAAACCTTTGCACCTGTTGCAAAAATGAACTGTAATCTAAAGAGCTAAACTCGAAGTAGCAAGGAAGAGAAGAGAACCACAGAACTGAAGAGAATGTCGAACTGTACTAGCCAGTCGACCAGTCCTTTATTTATAGATGAATATAGTACAAGGTACAARAWATYAYTGGGATGCCCCTGATTAGTGATGGGACACCCAGATGACTTAAATCATTAAACA